TCCAATACTTGATGTAGATGGACCATAATACTATATGATCAAATTATATATATATACACGCACACATATATACACATATAAGCGTGAACAAAATTTTAACTATGTCATATAATGCGATGTTATTTTCTATGATTTTATCAAGCCTATAAAAAAAATCCTAATAGTCAGTCCAGACCATCGCTCAGAATACATAACCAAAAACTAAAATAGTTGTTATAGTCTCATTCATAAAACAATATAATGTGACTTTAGGATAGATTTCTGGTTTTGATTACTTTTTTATTTTTTACTAATTTCAAATTATATACATATAAATACTCTTAAAGTATGGATATATAGTTACTTTTACTTATTTTTAATATATTTTCTCTAAGAATATTAATTCATACACATTGTAACCTCTTAATGTTTATTGAAAGTCCATATTTTCAAAGAGATCAACATATGATTATCTAAATTATTTGGAACTCACATTGTTTAAACTTGCACAATAGTCAGAAGATGTCAGAAAAAAATCTGAGTGAATCCTTACACTTTCAAGTATATTAGTTGCATTATGCATACACTATTTAGACTTAATCTATACAATATAATTAAATAAGTTAAATCATGTCATATGTGTTTGAAAAAATTGTAGTTATATATATAAATGAAAGTCTATTGTTTCTTCAAAGAGCACAATATATGATTATCTAATTTATATGGTACTAAAATAACTTACATCTTGCACAATTGTCAAAAGATGTCACAAAAAAATTATGAGTGAAATATTTACTCTTTCCTGTACAATGTTAATTGCTTACCCTATATATGTAATCATTATAATATATTCATTAAATTTAAATCATGTCATAGGGGTTTGAATGAATATAGTAACACACACATGTGTGTGTAAATATTCCAATTAAATATATATACAACATTAAAAGGGTTAAGTATCATGTATTTTAAAATCAAAATTTTGTCAACATTAAAAGGGTTAAGTATCATGTTTTTTAAAAAAAATAATGAACTAATTATAAAAAAATAAAATTTAAGACTGTAAAACAATTAT